ACACACACACACACACACACACACACACGCAGAGAGAGAGAGAGAGAGAGAGAGAGAGAGAGAGATTTTTTCTATTATTTAATATAAATTTATTTATTTTTAGTTTTCAATATTCACTTCCACAAGTTTTTGAGTTCCAAATTTCTCACCCCTCCCCCCACCCCAAGATGGCATGCATTCAGAATACCCCTTCCCCTGGTCTGCCTTCTCTTCTATCTCTTGCACCTCCCTTCTCTTATCCCCTTCCCCTTCTATTTTCCTGTAGAGCAGGATAGACTTCTGTGCCCCATTTCCTGTATTTCTTATTTCCCTGCATGTGAAAACATTTTTTTAAAAACATGTGTTTTTAAAACTTTGAGTTCCAAATTTTCTCCCTTCCTCCCTCACCTCCTACCTTCATTGAAAAGGCAAGCAACTCAATATAGTTTGTACATGTGCGGTTATGCAAAACACTTCCTTAGTAGACATCTTGTGAAAAACTAACTCTATTTTCCTTAATCCTATCCTGCCCTCCCATTTATTCTATTCTTTCTTTTGACCCTGTCCCTCCTCAGAAGTATTTGCTTCTGATTACCCTGTTTCCCAATCTGCCCTCCTTCTGTATTACCCCCCTGCTCTCTTGTTCCCTTTCCCCCCTATTTTCCTATAGGGTAAGACAGATTTCCATACCCAATTGAATGTGTATGTTATTCTCTCCTTAAGCCAAATCCTATGAGAATAAAATTCCCTCATTCCCTCTCACCTTCCCCTGTTTCCCCTCCACTGTGAGAGACTTTTCTTTTCTGTTTTTTTTGTGAGATAATTTACCCCATTCTACCTCTCCCTTTCTTCTCCGAGTATCATCCTCTCTCATCCCTTAATTTTATTCTCCAGATATGACCGCTTAATCTTCAACTCACCCTGTGCCCTCTATCTATCTATCTATATATACATACATACATATATACATACAATTTTTTTCCCTTCAACTACCCTAATACTGACAAAGTTCTCATGAGTTACAAATATCATCTTTCCATGCAGGAATGTAAACAGTTCAATCTTAATAAGTCTCTTATGATTTCTCTTTCCTGTTTACCTCTTCATGTTCCACTTGAGTCCTGTATTTGAAAGTCAAATTTTCTATTCAGCTCTGTTCTTTTCATCAGAATGCTTGAAAGTCCTCTATTTCACTGAATGACCATTTTTTCCCCTGAAGGATTATACTCAGTTTTGCTGGGTAGGTGATTCTTGGTTGTAATCCTATCTCCTTTGCCCTCTGGAATATTATATTCCATGCCCTGCAGTCCTTTAATGTAGAAGCTGCTAAATCTTGTGTTATCCTGATTGTGTTTCCACAGTACTTGAATTGTTTCCTTCTGGCAGCTTGTAATATTTTCTCCTTGACCTGGGAACTCTGGAATTTGGCTACAATATTCCTAGGAGTTTTCCTTTGGGGATCTCTTTCAGGAGGAGATCTGTGGATTCTTTCAATTTCTATTTTGCCCTCTGGTTCTAAAATATCAGGGCAGTTTTCCTTGATAATTTCTTGAAAGATGATGTCTAGGCTCTTTTTTTGATCATGGCTTTCAGATAGTCCAATAATTTTTAAATTCTCTCTCCTGGATCTATTTTCCAGGTCAGTTGTTTTTCCAAGAGATATTTCACATTGTTTTCTAATTTTTCATTCTTTTGGATTTTTTACAGTGTCTTGATTTCTCATAAAGTCACTGTCTTCCAATTGCTCTATTCTAATTTTTAAGGAAGTATTTTCTTCAGTAATCTTTTGGACTTCCTTTTCCATTTGGCCAATTTTTTTTTTAGGGCATTTTTCTCCTCATTGGCTTTTTGGACCTCTTTTGCCATTTGGGTTAGGCTGTTTTTTAAGGTGTTATTTTCTTCAGTATTTTTTTGGGTCTCCTTTAGCAAGCTGTTGACTTGTTTTTCATGATTTTCTTGCATCACTCTCATTTCTCTTTCCAGTTTTTCCTCTACTTCCCTTACTTCCTTCTCAAAATCCCTTTTGAGCTCTTCCAAGGCCTGGGACTGATTCATATTTTTCTTGGAGGCTTTGGATGTAGGAGCTTTGATTTTGTTGTCTTCTGGTTGTATATTTTGATCTTCTTTTTCCAAAGTAAGATAATATAGTCTGACTCTTTTTGCACTGCTTACTCATGATCCAGCCAATTACTTGAGTTTCAAACTCCTTGTTAAGGTAAGAGTCTGCTTCCAATGTGGAGAGTGTACTGTCCCAAGCTTCTGGGGTTTGTGTAACTGTTTTCAGAGATACTTGTAGGGACCTGTAAATTTTCAGTTCTTCCAAGGCGGTATGATAAGGGGCGAGGTATTTACTCCTTTCCTGGCCTGTGACCACAAGTATTCCTTTCTGTTCCACAACTGTAAGGAGGGCTTCCTCTCTACAGCCACTACCAGCTCTGCCACGCCAGAGCTCCTCCTCACCCCAGCACTGCTGCCCGGAACTGTGACCCAGATCCACACACGGGCAAAGCAAGAGATTCCTGCCTCAGCACTGGCAAAGAGATCCCTGCAGTCCCTCTCTGATCAGCCACTGAATTCCCCCTCAGTCTGTGGGCCAGAAGCTCGGGAAGCAGCTGCCCTGCCCAGGGACAGGCTCTTGGGGAATGGAGCTGAGACCCCGCCTTCCTCTCTGACCACTGACAGAAACAGACTTTTCCCACTGACCTTCTAAGTTGTCTTTGGCATTGGTGGATTGAGGAGTCTGGAAACCTCCACAGCTCCCTGAGATTCAGCCCTCTGAGACCTGCTGCAGGTTTGCTGTGGCCTGCCCGCCCACGCCGTGCTGTGCTGCGCTCCCAGCCCAGCATGATACACCTTTCTGATCAATCATTCAGGTTGTCTTGGGCTGGAAATTTGTTTCACTCTGTCTTTTTGTGGGTTCTGCTGCTTCAGAATTTGTTTAGAGCCATTTTTTAATGAGTATTTGGAGGGGTTTGGGGGAGAGTTCAAGCAAGTCACAGCTTTCACTCCGCCGTCTTTGAGAGAGAGAGATTTTGATCTAATTATTACACCAGAAAAAAAAATAAGTAAAGCAAACATGGTTTGTTTGTTTTTTCCCATAATATGATGATGTGTGGTGGGATGGACAAAACAGGTAGTTGATCCATCAATGCATTGAGGGCAGATGCTGTGGGTAAAAAATAAATTAAGTTTATAATTTAATAGGAGAAAGAATTTAGGGTAGATTTCATTTTTGGAAATCAAGCATTTACTTGAAACAGAAAGCCATATTTTATTCAATAATCTTATGCTGATACTATTTAGATTCAACTCATGTAGTGTCATAATATCTCTCTTTTTTATTTGTTATTCCTATTTATTATTTGTTTAAATTTATTATTTATTTTAAAGATTCTTTCCAGGTTTTTTTCCATGCTGCTCTTTTCAGAGCTAGTTCTGGGAGTCAGCAAATTTTCAGTACTTCCAAGGTGGTATGATCCAGGGAGAGGTGTGGTCACTGCTCTCCTGGTCTGTGATTCAGTCTTTACCCAGGAATGGCCACTGATCCCCTGTAGCCACAAGTGCTAATGTTCTTTTTTGCCTTGGAATTGCCACCAGAGGCTCTGCTCCCTTGTGACTGAGCAACCAAACACGTATCTTTCTGACATATAACTGGGAACCAGAAGTGCTTATGGGCAATAGAGTTGCCAATCAGCATCAGCTTCATGCAGTTCTAGCAAAGAGTCCCCTACAATCTCTTTCTGATCAGTTGTCTGACCTACTTACTGTGTCTAGGCTGAAAGCTCCCAATGTTGCTTCAGCCACTATTGCAGCCACTTCAAAGGCCAACCACTGATGCTGGTGATGTCTTCTGTATTAGACACCACCCTGGTGTCACAGACCTCTCCTGCTAGCTTGTCTCAGTAAGCAAAATGTCTAATTTTGACTTTTTGTTCACTTTGTTGTTTCATAATTTTACTTGAGGAGTTATTTCAAAGTTGTTTGGAGTGAAATGTGAGGACAATTCAGCTGGGTTGCTGACTGTATTCTGCCATCTTGGCTCCTCCCTTAGAATGTCATAATCTCTTCATTAGAAAAAAGTAATCCTAAAGTACATTAGCATCAAAGGTAAGTGAAAATATAGTTTCATTGTACCCTGCCTTGGTTAGACCACATTAAGAATACTGTATTCATCTCTGACCATTACATATTGGGAGTCATTTTCTTAATATAAAAACTATCCAGAGGTAAAAAAAAGAAATCAAAGTAGTGAGGGTGTTTAAGAGCATACCATATGAGGATCAGTTAGAAAAATAGGATCACTGTCTTCATATGTTTGAAGGGTTGTCATGTGGAAGTGGGATTAGGCTTATTTTGCTCATTCCAATGAGGCAGAACAAGAACAATAGCTAGAGGTGGCTGAGCCACCATTTTTTAATCAATACAAGAAATAGAAACAATTTATTGATCAATAAGCATTTATTAAGTGTCTGCTATGTGCCAGGTAATACAATGAAGACCTTATTAAGAATTAAAGCATTCCAAAAGTGCTTTGGGGCTGTTTCCTTCTACTGCCATACCCAATATCTCATGTATACATGCATGCACACAAATACATACATACATACACACACAAACATGCATATACACATATAGTACTAAGGCCCTAAAGGTCTTTAAGAAGAGGCCGTATAATCTTTTGGTGGGGAAGTTAGTGGAGTGTTCCTGCTTAGGGACTGATTTTACTACATGAAATATGATATTTCTTTCATCTCCAAAATCCTGTGAGTCTAATAGTCTTTCTTTCTGTAACTAAACAAAGTGATGGAAGAAGAGAAATAATCTTTTGTTAATCCATGTGTACCAATACGATCATATTCCTCACATTCTTCATTTACTTTTGTTCTTTCTTCTTCCCTTTGCTCTCTGTTTCCATTTTTTCAAAATATTGACTTATGAAAAGGGAACCTTTCATGAGAAGAGTTTTATTCCTATTGTTCTAATTAAATAAAGGGAGAGAAAAGGATTTATTAGTGTTGGCTTGGAATCATGATCGATAGCTTCAGCAGTCCTGAACACAAAGCTCATCATCACATATGGCAATATCTCATCTTCTTGAAGTAATGATCAAAGTCTTCTAGGTTAGTGCTGAAGATTTTTTATTTTCTACTTCCATTTAGTTCTGCTTCCCCCCCGCATATTTACATGAAACGTGTTCAATATTGGATTGTGACACGTCCAACAATTCTTAAAATGAATGCAGGTAAGCATCCTTAATCAACCACAGCTGGTTCAAGAAGTGTTCTTGATGAATCACCTGGAGAAGATAAAAGAGGATACAGAAAGGGGGAAAACAGGCAAAACATTATACAAACTATTGAGCAGACACATTGAGAAGTGAATATATGAAAAACATCTAACAAATGGGAAAATTTTCAGATCTCTTTGGCCTTGGAAAAACAAAGTCAGACTCACTGACATATGTCACAACTAGTGAAATGTTCAGTCAGAGGAGATTACCATGTCAATCTTGTGAAAATTGTCCAACTCAAGGAAAGATATAATGTTTTTGAGATCACATTTGCTTTGGGAAGACTTAAATCCCTTCCTCTCTCATAAATTGAGGGTATATTATAACAAATGTTTCATGGTGTTTATTTTCTAGAGGAAATAGCTCCCCTATGGTCTAAGCCCCTTTTCTAAGAGAATTCGGTGCATAAAATAGCTATGGAAAGGAAAACTGAATGGAAATAGAAAGGAGTATACCTTTTTTTCAGCTGTACATGGTATATTCACAAAAATTAACCATGTAATAGGGCCTAAAATCCTGACAAACAAATTCAGAAAAGCAGAATTGTGAAATGCATCCTTTTCAGATCATAATGCAATAAAATTACATTCAGTAAATGACCAGGAAAACAGATTAAAATTAATTCAAAATTAAACACTCTATTCTAAAGACTCAGTGGGTCAAAGGACAAATCGTACAAATATTCATTAATTTCATGACAGAGAGTGCTGACAATAATGCAACACACCAAAATTTGTGGTATACAGCCAAAACAGTACTTAAAGAAAACTTTATGTCTCTAAAACTTTCTATCAGTTAAAGAAAGAAAGAGTAGTTCAGTGATTTGGCCTGCAACTAAAATACATAAAAAAGAAGAATTTTGAAATTTCTAATTAACCACCAAAATGTAAATCCCCAAAATCAAAGGAGATAACAATCAAATTGAAAGAAAAAAAAACAAACAGAAAACAATTGAACTAATTAATAAAACTAGGAGACAATTTTGTGGAAAAAATGAAATAGATAAATTATTAATTAATTTAATTAAAAGAAAGAAAGAAACCAAAATAACAGAATCAAAAATGTAAAGGGTGATTGCACCACTAATGAAGATTAAATTAAGAAAATTATAAGAAGTTATTTTGACCAATAATGATCCATCTCATTAAGTGAAATAGAAGAATATTTACAAAAAATATATAAATTATAAACTGCCCAGATTACTAGAAGAAGAAATGAAATACTTAAATAATCTTAGCTAATAAATTGAACAAGCCATCAATGAGCTCCATAAGAAGAAATCCCCGGTATCAAATGAATTTGCAAGCGAATTCAACCAAATATTTAAGAAACACTGAAACCCAATACTATATAAAGTATTTGGAAAAAAAAATAGGTAAAGAAGACCTCCCAAATTTCTTATGTTGCAAAAGTATGTTTTGCTACCTAAACTGGTAACAGCAAAAACAGTAAAAGAAAATTACAGACCAATTTCCTTCATGAATATTGATGTAAAAAAAATCAGATAAAATGCTAGTAACAAGATTCTAGCAATATATAAAAACAATTATATGCTATGATCAGGTGGAATTCATACCAGAAATACAGGGCTGGTCCAATATTAAGAAAATTATCAGTATAACTGACCATATCCATACAAAACAACAAAAATCAGATGATTATGTCAATAAATGCAAAAAAGTCCTTGGCAAATTACAGTACCCATTCCTATTAAAAACACTAGGAAGCATAGGAATGAATGAGGCTTTCCTTAAAATGACAAGTGATATCTGTATCTGTAATGGAGATTATGTAGAAGCCTTTCCCATAAGATCAGGGGTGAAAAAGGGATGCCCGTTATCATCATTATTATTCAATATCATACTCTAAATGCTAGCTCTAGCAATAAAACAAACAAAAAAGAAACTGAAAGAACGAAAAAGGCAAAATTATTACTCTTTGCAGATGATATGATTGGTATACTTAGAGAATCTGAGAGAATCAACTAAAAACCTAGTTTGTTTGAAACAGTTAACAACTTTAACAAAGTTGCAGATTAGAAAATGAGCACACACAAATCATCAGCATTTCTATATACTGTCAACAAAACCCAGCAGCAAGAGATCAAGATATTCCATTTAAAATAAGTGAATATGATATAAAACACTTGGGAGTCTACCTGCCAAGATAAACTCAAGGAGTATATGAAGACAAAACATTTCACAGAAATAGAGACAGATCTAAAAAAACTGGAGAAATATTAATTGCTCATGGGTAGGCTGATTCAATGTAAAATTACAACAAAAACTGACAATTCTATCTAAATTGATTTACTTATTCAGTGCCATATCAAACTACCAATGAATTATTTATAGAGCTAGAAAGAATACTGTCAAAATTCATCCAGAAAGACAAAAGGTCAAGCATATCAAGGGAATTATTGAAAAAAAAAGTGAAGGAAAGCAGTTTAGCATTACCATATTTCAAAGTATATTACAAAGTAGTAATCAACAAAATAATCTGTTTATGGCTAAGAAATAGAATTGTTGATTAGTGGAATAGATTACATATACAAAATACAACAACAAATCATCATAATAATCTAGTATTTGATAAACCCGAAGATCCAAGCTTTTGAGGGTAAGAACTATCTATTTGACAAAAATGAATGGGAAAATTGGAAATCAATTTGGCGTAAATCAGGCATAAATCAACTTCTCACACAATATACCAACATAAGTTCAAAACTGACAAATGATTTAGAGATAAAGGTTATAGCATAAGTAAATTAGGGGAGCATGGAAAAATGTATGTGTCAGAACCATGGAGAAGGGAAGAGTCAATGACCAAACAAAACATAAGAAGTATCACAGAAAATAAAATGTATAATTTTGAATATGTGAAATTAAAAAGTGTGTATAAGCAAAAAGAATGCAGCCAAAATTAGAAGGAAAAAGGGAACTGTGAAAATTTTTATAGCATGTTTCTCTGAAAAAAGCCTTATTCTCAAATATATAAGGAATAGAGACAAAATTTATAAAACTAAGAGCCATGCTCTAGTGTATCAATAATGAAAGGATATGAATGGACAGTTTTCAGAAGAAGAAATGAAGGCTATAAATAATTGCGAGAAAAAAATAATTTAGCTCTAGCAGATCTAAGGCTACATTATAAAGCAGCAATCATTAAAAATATTTGGTGTTGGTTAAGAAATAGAATGATGGATGAGGGGAATAGATTAGGTACACAAGATACAATATTATAGTAATCTACTGTTTGATAAACCCAGACTCCAGCTTCTGGGATAAGAAATTCTTATTTGACAAAAACTGCTGGGAAAACTGGAAAAGAATATGGTAGAAACTAGGCATAGACCAACATCTCACACCCTTTATCAAGACAAGGTCAAAATGGGTGCATGATTTAGACATAAAGGGTGATAACATAAGCAAATGAGGAGAGCAAGGAATAGTTTACCAGCCAGATTTAAGGAGAAGGGAAGAATTTATGACCAAGCAAAAGAAAAAAAAACATTTTGAATACATAAAAATGGATAATTTTGATTACATTAAATTAAAAAGGGTTTGCACAAGCAAAGTCAATGCAACCAAGGTTAAAAAGGAAGCAAAAAACTGCAAAACAAACTTTACAGCCAGATTCTCTGACAAGGTCCTCATTTCTCAAATATATAGAGAACTGAGTCAAGTTTATAAGAAAACAAACCTTTCCCTAATTGTTAAATGGTCAAAGGATATGAACAGGCAGTTTTCAGATGAAGAAATTAAAACTATCTATAGTCATACAAAAAATGCTCTAAATAACTATTGATTAGAAAAATTAAAATTAAAATAACTCTACTTCATACCTAACAGATTGGCTAATACGACAGTAAAGGAAAATGACAAACGCTGAAGATGTGGTAAAATTAAGTCACTGATGGTGGGTCTGTGAACTGATCCAACCATTCTGGAGAGTAATTAGTAACTATGCCCAAAGAGCAATTAAACTGCACATACCCTTTGATCCAGCAATACCACTACTAGGTCTATATCCCAAAGAGATCATGAAAGAGGAAAAAAGAACCTAAACATGCAAAAATATTTATAACAACTATTTTTTTTTTGGTGGCAAAACATTGGAAGTTGCCCAGTAATTGGGGAATTGCTGAACAAGTTGTGCTATATGAATGTAATGGAGTACTATTGTGCTATAAGAAATGAAGAGCAAGTAGATTTCAGAAAAAATCTGGAAAGACTTGAATGAACTGATGCTGAGTGAAGTGAGCAGAACCAGCAGAACATTCTTCACAGTAACAACAAAATTTTGTGATGCTCAACTATGATTGACTTAGCTCTTCTCAGCTATACAATGACCTAAAAGGGGGTTGGGGAACTTGCCACCTTGAGGCCACATATGGCCCTCTAGGTTTTGAACTGCTGCCCTTTGACTGAATCCAAGCTTCACAGAACAAATTAAAAAATGCTATCCATTTCCAGAGAAAGAACTATGGAGTCTGAATGAAGATTGAGGCATACTATTTTCACTTTTTTTGTGGCTTTTCACTTTTATTCTATTTCTTCTTTCACAACAAGACTAATGTGGAAATATGTTGACATGATTGCACATGCATAACCCATGTCAAATTTCTTGTCATCTTGGGAAGGGTAGTAGGAGGAACAAAAAATTTGAAACCCAAAATCTTATAAAAAATGAAAGTTGAAAACTATCTTTACATGTAACTGAAAAAAAATACTATTTACCAAAAAAAAAAAATTCTAAATCAATACTTATTAGAGAAATACAAATTAAGACAACCTGAGGTACTACCTCACGTATAACATGAGTGAAAAGGAAAATGACAAATGCTGGAAAGGATGTGGGAAGATTGAAATAGTAATACATTGTTGGTGTAGTTGGGAACTAGCCCAACTGCTCTGGAGAACAATTTGTAACTAGGCCAAAGAGGACTAAAACTGTGCATACTTTTTGACCTCTGACTTTAGTTATACCACTACCAGGTCTAAATC